GCCATATAGACCCTGCTTACCATGCACTAAAAATTCCATAGTGCACACTGACCGTACTCTAATTTCAAAGTGGAGTAGATAAAAGTGCCCTAGGGAACTTTCAGTGCATGGCTGCAGGATCCACATGGTCTGTTAGTGTGTGGCATCCTAGCATGCTGTAGATCAGGGGCAGGCAACCTGCGGCACGCGTGCTGAGGGCGGCATGCGAGCTGATTTTCAGTGGCACTCACACTGCCTGGGTCCTGGCCACCAGTCCGGGTGGCTCTGAGTTTTAAATTTAATTTTAAATGAAGCTTCTTAAACATTTTAAAAACCTTATTTACTTTACATACAACAATAGTTTAGTTATATATTATAGACTTACAGAAAGAGACCTTAAACGTTAAAATGTATTACTGGCACGCGAAACCTGAAATTAGAGTGAATAAATGAAGACTCAGCACACCACTTCTGAAAGGTTGCCGACCCCTGCTGTAGATTTACACTGCCGCTTGCCACATAATAATTCTCCACAGAGTTGCTTAAGATCACACAGGAAGTCAGTTGCAGACCTGGGAATAGAATCCAGGTCTCCAAATGCCCATTACTTCTTTCTAACCACAAAACAATGCTCCTTCTCATACATGTGACTCATGAATCTTGTCTTTTACTTCTAAAAAATATTTGTCTTTTATGTAAACGATGTCTTCCATTTTTCCCCTTTGGAGGCTATACCTTGGAAAGCTGAAATGTCAGGCAAATCCTGCTACACCACTACTATACTCTACTCTAGAACCATTAAACACTGCAGGAGGTGGAGTGGAGGAGACAAGGAGAAGTAACAGCAGGAGAGGCTTTTAAGACAAAAATATTTTTCTCCAGTACAAGTCAACCTGGAAAGCATTTACTAAGAAGGATGGTTTTCATTCCTCTCTTCTTGCTACTTTGGGGGTTGAAATCTTTCCCAGAGATCATGGATTTATTAAATTAGATAATTTAAAGAAAATACAAAACTAGGAAGATCAGAGCCTTGTATCTTTTGCAAATCATCAGAGCTAGCTGAGAAATTTGATCACTGTCTTATTTGAATTACATGATGCTTCCTGCAAGGGTCTTGCATACAAGTCAACACTGTTTTCATTTCTTTCCTACATTCAGTTCTTCTTCAGTTTCAGCAGTAATAGTACTCCTCCTACTGGACAAACAGAAGCAATAATTGCAATCTATCATTCAGACACCACTCAGGCTACAAAGAGCCAATAAGCTACGTAATAAACTGACTGTGTACTTAGAGGTGACTTTGGTGGTGTCATACTGCAATTTCATATTTCTATTCAAGTAGGTGGCTTCTTGAACTATTTTCCAACTATTGCCCAGTTTAATAAACTTAAGTGAAATCTGTTTTTGGTTTGGTTTCTAAAATCATAAAAATAAAAACAAAAGTTATGCATTGGACACAAAATTTAAAAATATAGTGAGGCTGGTATAATATATACAAAGTGCTCCGGTACACACTGAACGTATTTTCATATTATACTAACAAAATACTACATAGTATTGTGTTCTTCTATACTATTAAAACAGCTTTATTTTCATCCCAATCTTATGTTTTTGTACCATGTATACCAAAGAATAAAAATAAAACAAAGTGAAGGCATGCAGCCAAAAATTTCACAAGTATTCTTAATGAGCCAGGAGAAAACTCTAATTCCAGATGGCCAATTTTTAAAAATGTATCCAGTGTTTGGATTTCATGGTAAATACATGCCCTTACAGATTAAGGAAATGAAACCTCTTGATTAAAGCCAGAATTTCCACAAAGAGTGGCACTAATGAGAAAGGTAGAATGCACTCAGGTCTCTGGATTGCTATGGCGTTTCAAGGTTAATTGTGTGGGAAGATTAAAATAATTTTGCAAGTGGTTTGCTTAAATTCCTAACTAACTGTGAACAAGTCCTCTTGATGTTCCTGTTCTTCTGGGGCCCAAAGGGATGGATGTATGATTATGTGGCACACTTATGTGACCTGAAATCCTCAGCAACACTATCAGTAGGGCCTTACCAAATTCACAGCCATGAAAAATGCGTCACGGACTGTGAAATCTCGTCTCCCCCACGAAATCTGGTCTTTTGTGTACTTTTAACCAGCCTATTCTCTACAGATTTAATGGGGAGACCAGCGTTTCTCAAAATGGGGCTCCCTACCCAAAAGAAGGTTGGGGGGGTGTCTCAAGGTTATTGTGTGTGTGTATGTGTGGGGGGGGTCTCAGTATTGTCACCCTTACTTCTGCGCTGCCTTCAGAGCTGGGTAGCCAGAGAGTGGTGGCTGCAGGCCAGGTGCCCAGCTCTGAAGGCAGCGCCCCACCTGCAGCAGCGCAGAAGTAAGGGTGACAATACCATAGCATGCCACCCTTTCTTCTGCGCTGCTGCCTTCAGAGTTGGGTCAGGATCACTACAGTTACAGCCCTGTGAAATTTCAGATTTTAATATCTGAAATCATGAAATTTATAAATTTTAAAATCCATTCACCGTGAAATTGACCAAAATGGACCATGAATTTGGTAGGGCCCCAACAATCAGAAATCAACCAAATGAGACTCTGATGTAATCTTCCAAGCTGAAATATTGGCTGGATTCCCAAACAAATTATATTTATTTTTCCTTTCTTTAATTTCAGCCACCAATCCTGCAGATGAAAAACAAAAAAGAGCTAAAGACTATCCGCTCAATACTAGCCTTCTGAAAGCAAATCTGAAACAATTAGTAACAGGCGACACCTGCAGTCTCTATTAAACAAATGTATAGAAAATGTCAATTTGTTTACTTCTTTGTACCATATGACACAACATAGGGTACCAGGGACTCAATTTTAAAAAAAGTACGTGCCTGACAAATATCCTGATTCCACATCTGGGCACTTTATTCGTCACACAGGTGAGTAAAAACATGCTTTTTTGAGGCTCTGTGATGATTTAAGACCCTAAACGTGGGATCTGGATGTGTTATTTAGGCAATCACATGAAACTAGACTATGATTATTGTATAGTCTGTCTATATATGTCTGCCTTCTAGTCTGCCACATTGACTGTATATAGATGCATAAATATTAAGGATAAACACCTTTCCATTCATGTGCAGAAAAAACAGATTGGAATTTATTAATACATTTAATATACTGAAGTACACATGTATTTGATAATATAATTCTTAGAAAACTAAAATAAAAAGAGAGATCTGCTCATTTTAAGACAGATAATTCTTAAAAGTTATACTGTCATTGTTGGGAGGCCTGAACATGGCAAAATTTACGTAATTTCCCATTACCCTGCCTCACCCCCCAAAAAACAAATAGTTTTCCTTTAAAAAGCAAATCCAAGATCTGAGTACATCAACTAAGTAGACTGCAATTACTTAATGGAAATTAAATAATTAAATTAAAATATTTTGTTGACAGCATTTAAAGGGGTCCTATATATATATATATATATATATATATGGAGGATATACTCAAAACAATTAAAATACATTGTCAGATACATGTCAAGAGTAAATTGTTTGCACCATTCAAAGATTTTACTCTAGGAAAAGAAATTCACTTTACTACATTGTAAGGGTCAATTCTGCAGTTCATATGATTATACAGCACTCTCTCTGAAGTCAATGGGAATTCTGTATGTATGAGGCCTTAAGTGAGTATGCATTTAATTGGTATAGCAGACTGGTGTACTGATTATAACTGCATTTGCTTTTGTAATATAAAATAAGTGTTATGTTAAAGCACCCTTCAATAATTTATTAACAACATTCTTAAATATAGGGGCAGATCCACAGCTGGTGTAAGTTGTCAGAGCTCTTTTGACTTCAATGGAACTACAGCAATTTACTCCAGCTGAGGCCCCCACAACACCTGTGTCAGATAGCTATACATTAAACCCATTTTACAGATAACGAAGTGACCCAGTAAAACTGAAGATATTCTCTAAGCATTCTGCAGTTTAGGGAATGTGTTTTATTCATTTTATTCATTTAGAAAAGCATCTACTATCCAGAAACAAGGCTATATGAGCAGAGGAGACAAGTAACTAGCTCCATATAATCACTGAAACCTTAAGAATTTTAAAGCATTTGAACTTAAACAAGTGTATTCATGTCTGTGACAGAAAATCCAATTTGATTAATTTAGTTTAAGACTGAAAATCTATTTTGAGAGAACACCCACAATTATATTATAAATAAGGCAAAATATTTTCAAAGTGATCTGCAAAAAAACAACATATTTCAGTAGAAAGTACTGAATGTCCCCAGCAATAAGAGGGGCATTTCAACATGTTAATAACTTACGCTTAGCACATTTTACCCCTTCTTGCATGTCCAAAGAGTACCGCTCCCCATATTTGCCAGCTGCTATCTGATGCTTCACCTCTGCATGTACTTCACTAAGGACATCACATCACCATAGATCAACATGGAAGTATACAAGATGCTTATAAAGGTAAGTCCCATTCTTTTCTGGTACTGTGCCGCTTTCAGAAAGTTTAATATTCTTATGTTTTACCATTTAGGATACAAAATAAGATAAAATTTTAAGTTTTCATGACAGGTACTTTGGACGGAAAAGGTACATATTAAGTAAATTATCTTATGCATGGACTCCCCACATAGCAAGTGTAGGAGAGGCATTTCAACAAACTCAGAAGTTACTTAGGGAAAAAAAATCTAACATTTGCAGATCACTTTTAAAGAAGTCTAATTGTTTTTGTCCCTGTTTTACAAGGCTTCCATAACAACTAAAATCTTGTTTGTATCTAGGAGACAATCTGCTCCTCTTCACAATGGTTATTCCTTTACTTACCAGGAGAATATTTGCTCATTTGTAAATATCAGCCTTGATTCTCCCTACTCTAGTATTTATTAACGTGTATATAAAACAGAAATTTTTGGGCTTTTAGATTTCAGAATAATTTGCATTACAATTGCAATAGTAAATATTATCCATATTTTATGTAAGGATAAGATTCTTACCCAGTTAACTTTTTTCAGAGGTAGAAAATAATAGTAGTGGCAGAAATCAAGTATCAATGTATAGGAACTAAGAAGCTGAGTGTAGAAACATAGCTGCAGAAACAGCCAATGATTGTCTTCACCAACACAATTGTTAATCCTGCAGCAAAACAAAGCAAATATACAAGGCTTTTTAAATGTTATAGTTAGGCATGATGAGTACCAAAGACAAAACAACTTAACTTATTTACAAATGCACTGCTAGATACAGTAATGTATAGGCCATATGCAACAACAAGTGAATACCCACAGCATCCATTCTACAGAATGATGTGGCTTCTCTATTAAAGCAATGACAACCCTGCTTGTAGTTTAAAATTTGCCTGCATTTTAATTTGGTGCATAGAGTGCAAGACTGGAATTTCTCTTTGTTAAAATACAAATTTAATGGTAAGCTCTTCAGGGCAGGAAACATGTTTATCTTTCTGTTTGTACAGCACCTAGCACAAGGGGGCCCTGATCCTGATCTGAGAGCATTAAAACAATATTTAAAAAAAAAAAAAAAAAAGTCTTGGTTGTTTCTCAAAGTACAGAATTGTATTAGTTGATTATGTTCATATTTCAGGTTTCCACATATACTGATCATGTAGAATGGTATATGCTTCTTCTGAAGAGACTCAGAATGAAAAAACCTCTTTTTGCCTTAAACACCAAAGGCGTTGCGATTTTAAAAACATTTCAAAATTATAAAACAGCCTGCAAAAATGTCACAGCAATTCATGTTTTTCTCCACTTACTAACACAGATTACAATCTAAAGTGATACAAAATGGACTTTTGTCCTATATAAATTTACATAAATTCAATTCAGAAAGTGGAAAATTGGGAATGCAAATACTATACATATTGATAAATGCTGGATTAGGGAGCAGTCCACTGACAGGCAAAAACAAAATCTCAAATATGCAAGAGAAGGGTTGGAGGAAGGAGAAGGCGTGACACCCAACAAAACAAGAGTATCTCCCAACTTCCTTATCAAAACGGTTTCAAATAATCCTGACAGTTCAGATATTTCAACTTTCCTAATTAACCCTTTCAGCAATCTAGGCCTAGTCTATGCTACAAAAGTTTTACTCGTATAAATACATCAGTTAGGAGTGTGATTTGCTTTTTAATTATACTGGTATAAAGCCTAGTATAGATAGAGTTATACTGGTATAAAAGGTGCCGTATACCGATATAGCTTATCTTACTTCCCAAACCAGATAGAAGTTATAGTGGTAGAAGCAGTGGTGTAGCTAGGCTAGGAAAACTGGATGGACCCCGCTTTTGGGTGGGCGAGCAATAACGGGGGGGCCACCTCCCTGTATGGGGATTATGGTTTTGTGGGCCCTGGGCCAGGACAAGTGGGGGTCCTCCCCACCCCTTCTTCCTGCAGTCCCTGTGTGCTCCTGCCAGGGAAATGGGGTTGAGGCACAGGGGCTTGCCCCGCTCCACCCGCCAGCAGGGTCCGGGCGCCATTTGGGTGGGCCTGGATGGTAAGTGGGTGGGCCATGGCTACCCCCCTGGGTAGAAGTACTTTTCTATTGGTATAACTGCATCAACAATAGAAGGTGGGAGGAGGGGTTGCTGCTTTAACTATACCGATAGTTAGAGAAACTTTCTAGTGTAGACAAGCTTCTAAGGCCAGGTCTACACCAAAAAGTTAGGTTGACCCAGCTATGTTGCAAAGGGGTGTGAAAAAATCCACACATTAAGCAATGTAGTCAAGCTCACATAACTCCCAGCGCAGACAGCGTCAGGTTGACAGAAGAATACTGCCTCTTGAGGAGGTGGATTAACTACAGTGATAGGAGACTCATTATAGTTAATATAGGATAAGGAGTGTCCACATTGATGTGCTGCAGTGTTTCTAGTGAAGACACAGCCTAATCCATACATTGACTCTAATGAGAATTGGAGCAAGCCCATAGATAGCTAACAAATTAACTACCACCACAAAATATTCCATCTGTTTTGGTTATTTCTTTTTTTTTTTTTTTTTTTAAGTCATCCCCTGATGCTTTAAACTTTTAATTTGTAGCACAAACATGAGAAAATGCAAAACAAGCTTTTATATTTCAGTTCAGTTGAAAGCAAATTATCTCACCATCTCACAAAACTAAATTGTGAATATCTGATTTATATGTCAAGAAGCTGCTCGGCTCTAGCAATTTTGTTTTTTAAAGTTGCATTTCCCAACATTAAACATTTCTTTCATCAAAATTTGTGAAAGTTCCAGGAGCATCTCACATTGGCAAACAGCAGCATGACAGAACAATAACGATTACATGTTACATAGCAAACAATTCTCACTATCAATGTTTGATTGCAGGCACAGGTACATCACAATGAAAATCCTATCTACCCTCCTGCACTAGATACCTTTAATGATGAAGTATTACCGTCAGAAAGAGAATGCTTCAATAAAATTGTACTGTAGTAAAAGTACCCTGAACAATCAAAAACTGCAATTTAAACAAGCAGTAAATAAGGAAATTTTCTGTGGAGCAAGAACTTATTGAATCAATGGATCCAGTCTTACCACGGACAGTGGTGATCCATCCTTCTAACACAGTGTCCACAGCGACTGCAGTGATGGGATCGCTTTGGTCTCATCATATTACATTTATTACATAGTTCCCAACATTCTCGTTCTAGAAAGAAAATTGAAACCAGGTTAAATAAAAATGAATGTCTGTTGAAGTGGCACTAGTTTTCAGGTCTCACCAGTTACACATGCTTGAGCTTCTGGAAAAAATATATTCTTCCTACAGAAATCAGCATACAAGAACCTCTCCCCAACTCTTCTCTCAACTGCTCTAGGATGGTTGACATACCTCTACCATTGTGGGCTGATTTTTACTCCTAATCCCCATCTCTCCCTACTATTTTTAAGAGTCACCAACACAACATGAAACTCTTGCCTAGGAACAAGGCAGGAACTGGGAAATAAAGAATTTTTGTGTTTCTAAAACTATTCTCAGTTCCACTTGGATTGCTTTTTTTCTAGCACACATCACCAACAGTGTTAGCTCTAAAGCTCAGCCAGAGTATCAAATCCCACTGCCATCCCCAGCTCAATCCAAAAGAATTGACCAGTAAAATAATAAAATACAAAATAGATTTCTGAAAGATCTTCCACCTCAGGATCTCAATGTGCTTTAAACATTAAACACACATCATAACATCCAACAAGTAGGAATTTTATAGATGAGGGACCCGGAGGACAGAGACGGTGTCCACTAAGTTTGGGAGCTAAACTTGAGATACCTAGGGACTGATTTTCAGAGGTACTGAGCTCCCACAACTCCAGCTGAAGTTAACATGAGCTAACATTGCTAGGCATTTCTGAAAATACAGATATTATTTGCCTCAAGTTGGGTATCTAAAACCAGTGGACACTTCTGAAAATTTAGGCCTCAGAAAGCTGGTGAAGATCACATTGTTTCTAGGATGAAAACACACTGAGACCTTAGTGCTGTCAATCATTTAAAAGGTATTTTACTTAATTTTTTTTTAAAAGGAGTGCAGTAAAGGTGCTATGATTCCTATTTGTAACAAGTGCCATCATCTTTTTTATTTTTAATCTGAGAAAAATCAAAACTTATAAAAGGAAAGCTACACCAGTTTTCATTGCAATGCATTCTGAAAGTTTACATTACATGAGGAAATGCTTTTCACTATAATAAATGATGTATGGAACAAATTTTAAAATTCAATTTGACACTTCTTGAGCCTCCTGCTGGCAGTTCCCAGCTTTCCCATTTTGCAGAAAAATGACATTTGCACACTGGTAGTACAGAAGCCCAATACCCAAGATCACTAAACTAGTAATAATGCCAGATGGAAACTGATTTACAATCTGTTCCCATAAAGCCAGTGTCACAAAGGTGTCACTCTTTAATAAGACAGCTACTGTTAACAGGAGGCTCAGAAACACCCGAAGCTAGTTTTCAAATATAAGTTACACTAAGCAAAAAATGTATCTCACCATATCAACCTGCACAATACCACAGTGCTGAAGTGAAGCTTAAATATGATTTTTTGGTCTCAGTCCTGTCACTAATGGGACTAGATGCAAAAACATGATCACAATTGTCCCTAATTGCCCACTTGTCAGCAGTATCCGCAGAGCTCACTAAATGAATGAGGCATGGAGAATGAACCAGCCTCTCAGTTGATGGAAATGACTGTAATGTCTCAGCATGCTCCCTGGGCTAAGAACAACTATGCCTTCCTCTCACTATGGAAAGGGGTGGTGATGGTGGTACAGGCTCAATTGGGAAGCATGGCATTTAGAGGTTGGAAGCCCAATGCCAGCAGAAATGCTAAGACTTAAAGCAAACATACCAGGACACCAAAGATAGGAACCTGCAAGTCCAGTGCTAGATAGACTACTTATCCATTCCACGAGAAACTGGACATGATATTTAGCAAAGGTCCCACCAACAAGCTAAACATGGAACTAGACAGCAGCAGAGCTCTTGGAGACAAGACAATGACAAGACCTCTGACAACCAGGAGAACCCAAACCTGGAGAAGAAGTGGCAGCCCCTACCAGTCAGGAACAGCAGATCCAGGAGCATGAGCAACAGCACCCTGAGGCAGAGAAAGGGAACGAGCAAGCTTCACCATCATTGCCTGCCGTCTTCATCTTCTGGGATCCCAGAAATTTCTACCTAATCCTGAAATATGTCCTAATCTGACTAGGCTTTTAGAGAGGGATCCAGATGACATCACCACCTCCAGTTAAATCTGGAATACCACCTGGGATGTGAGACTTTGCCACCCTGCCTCCCCCAATGTGTCTTTTTCCTTCCCCATTTTGTTTCTTCTCTTTCCTATCTCTCTTATTTTAATTTCTGTCTAATAAGAGTCTGGCTTAGCCAGCCAAGACTGTATATTTTGCAAGCCTGTGACCAGAAAGAGGGAGCTGAAAGCAATGCCCTAAACAGACCAATGGTAGAACAAGTTTGCTAGATCTCAGAGTTGCTGATAAAACCATGTGCCATGCCTGTGTTTCTTCAGCAGTGAGGTTGCAAGTGAGAGTCAACACAGAGACTGAAGCTCCATCTTTGCTCTTTTTATCTCTCCCCTTTTGTGTGTTTGTCTTGTTTTGTTTTCTAGGAAACCGGATCAGACTTCAGCAACAGCAGCTCTAGCCCATCTCAACTAACTTCTTTTCTTTTCCCCAAAAGGACCTTATTAACATCTTTAGTACCATTTAAGAGATTGACAAAAAAAGGGTTTTTTCTTTCTAAAAACTCTCCACAGCCAAAGTAAAATGGAATAAGAAATGTTGTTAAAATGACAGCCTTACTTAAAGCATTTGAAATGTGAAGTATTAACAGTTTGTCCTTCTTTTTCTTTAATAAAAAGTTTAAAAGGATTTTTAATGGTGAGTTTGCCATAGTACTAAGCAGACAAAGGTCTCTGTATACCAAACCGTGTTTAAAACTGCTTAATGTTGGACAGTTTCAGGGTCAAGTTAACACCTTTAGCTCTTTGGGGCCATATATTCCACCAACATTAATGCCACAACACCGTTAGTGTCATATTACTAGAGAGAAGAGCTCCACTTTGGCCTCTGGGGAAAAAAAGAGTTAAGTTTTTTTTTAAATCCTCACATACATTTTTCCAAACCAGTTGATAATGATGTCCAAAAATCTCCCGTAGTGATCCACCCAGGCCTACATCACCAGAGAGTAGTATCCCTTCCTGCAAATGGGCTATGCAGATTGATGGAGTAGCACAGACAGGTACTTGGGTACTGTTCAGGAACCTTAACTATTCAGCGCAGTCAATGATATCCAGCACACTGGCCATCTCAATCACATGCTCTTGCAACACAGCGTAGGACCTTGCTCACCTCTATCACAACAGCACCTACACTAGATTTACCAAACCCGATTTGGTTTTCAAGAGAGTGGTTGCAAACAAGGGTAGTAAGCTTCCAACAGCTATTAAAACTAATATTAGAGATTATGCTAAGCAACGAACATTGTATTATTTAGAAACATCTTGCAATATAGTACCTGTGAGTGGTATCTTTGGCCTTTCAGGTAGTTTTCCTGGATCAGCTATGGAGGCTCTCAATAACGAAACTATACAAAACAATGAGACTAAGTAGTAGCCTGAAAAATAAATACATAAGTATTCAGAATATTACATCAAGTGTATCTTTGGCCAAAGACTGCATGCCTTAATGTGTCACATTTTAATCAGTTCCAACATAGCAAAAGATTACTTTATAGGAATGAGGCAAGACAACAGAAAATTGCAGAAAAAAAGAAGTTGCAATAATTGGCATATTTGAAAAGTAAATCTGATTTAAACTAACATAGCTTAATTAATACATGTAAACCAGCATTCCATTTATGCATATAAATATTTCATACATATATTACACATAAAAAACAACATTAAAAGAACATATTAAGATTGCAAAGTCAAACACACAAAAGTTAGGAAATACCACAATTAAGGTTGCCTATGCACATCTAATTGGGCTCTTTGTACATATGCATTATGATAGTCTTTAATTACATGATTGCATAACATTTTTTCCACAGGACTGCTGCCTCATTCAACACACAAAATGAACTGCGCTCACTGAACGAGCAGCAATATTTTGTTTTCTCCTTCTTGTTCAATATGTGGGCGCATGTCTCATTTACTGCACGCTATTCAAACACTACTCCAAAGCCAGAATTATTAGCTTCCTCATCAGTTTTTCTAATGGTGCTCATCATTATGGCATAGAAGTGCATCACAAACATTAATTTATTTTCATGACTCCAGTGAGATAAAGGGGTATTATACCCATTTTACAGATGGGGGACTGAGATAGAGAGCAATTAAGGTCAAAAGTATCCACTAATTTTGGGTGTCCAAACTGAGACACCTAGGACCTGATTTTTCAGAGTACAGTACTTAGCATTATATAGCACTTTGTGTGTTCAAAGCATAACTTCCATTTACTTCAGCTGCAGTTGTGAGTGTTCAGCACTTCTGCAAATCAGATTCCAGAGCCTCAAGTCAGGCACCAAAAAAAAAAAAAAAAGAAACACACATATAGTGACTTACCTAGCATCACACAGGAATTCTGTGACAGAAACAGGGATACAATCCAGTTATCCAGGGCAGCATTCTACTGCCTTAAACCACGAGACCATCTTTTCACTTCCTGCAGTTCCCTGCTTCATTCACTACACACCTTCCAATTTCTGCAACAAATGAAGCTGGGTTCCTACAGCCCACAGCCTCCTTACACAACCCATCATGGGCATTGAATGACGCAGGAGTGGAAACAATCATATAACTTTTTAAGTATATGATCATATATTATAATTCATACACACAGGGGACTGAATCAAGGTTGTATAGACAACCTTAATTCTGAGTTGCTTTTGAGTACTTAGCTTTGCAACCTTAATGCTTTTAAAATAGTTGTGTGTGATTTCCTATGTTTTTAAAACAATTAATTGAAAAAAAAAAATCTCCTCGTGTGCCATCATATTGACATCATATGGCTCATCGGCAGGGTTGGAGCCTTTATCTCCACCTTGCAGACGTCTGGCACTGGAGCAACTGAGAGCAGAAGTAGGTTGTCATTCTCTCCGTGGGCCTGCATTAGAGGGAGATGAATCACTTTGCCAGTGGGTTTCCACAGATATGTGTTGATTTCAGAGGAACAGTGAAATTCTGGAATCCTGGGTTTCATTCCTGTCTTTTGAGGGGAGTGTGCTTTAGTGGACACAGACTTTTCTTCCTATGCCCCTCTCCCCTCAAAGCTTGACCTCTTCTGCCCCCTCCCCTCCAACCTGTCACTGTCCAAGTCCCAACTCTTCCCCATCCCTGGCTCCTCCTCCCAGTGCCATTCTCCTCATATAGCCAGCCTGAGTTAGCACAACTCATTAACTGCTAATATGACCACTCTGCTGTGTTGACACAGGCTAGCTCCACCTGATTGCTGCTAGTCCTCCAATGTCTTCCCACAATTCCACCATGTCCCCAGATGGGACAGGGAAATTCTCCTACAATTCACTGGGAAATAATTCATAGAATAGCTCAGCTTACTGCACTGCAAAGAACTATGGGATGTGCCTAGGGTTACCAACTCTGACTGAAGCTATTTCAGACTCCTCCTCCCCCCCCCCCACGACAATGTCATTAAAATCTCCTATTAAAATCTCTTGGACTGCTTTCAATAGTCACCGAGAGATCAGTGCCGATTCTGGGAGACTCCAGATCAATCCTGGAGGGTTGGTAACCCTAGTTGTGCCCCTGAAGTCTTAAGTGCCACACAGGAGTGAGTACTGTGCCACTGTGTATGCAGCAGCTTGAATGTTATTTCAAAGTGTAGCTGCTCTCACCAGCGCAAGGCTAACTTGAGAGGAGTAGCTCAAGAGTAGAAAACTTAACTGCAGTGAAAATATACCCAAATACACCCACAATCCCCTGTCCCAGCATCAGCTGCTGATGCGAATATGGGATATATTGTATACCTGCTCAGCTTTTCCTGATACTGATATACACTCATGCAGATTAGTAGGTACAGACTGGCCACAGGATTCACACATGCTGTGTTGGGAAAAAAATGCAGATATATGGACATACTGAACTGTGTCAAATGCGTGTGTCAAAGCCCAATTACAGTTAGCATGTCCCTGTCTGTAGTTGGGGCTTTAATCTAAAGTAATACCAAAATAAGCTATTTCAGATTTATTGTATTTCAAAAATAAGGAGGAAGTTGGATTTTTAAGAATCAGCATTAAGACCAATTTTTGTTGGCTTGCTCTCCTTCTTCCCTGGAATTCTGGAACTTGATACTACATAGGTCAGAGTAGGTTCTATTGCCCACAGGTACCTTTTTTTTGGTTTGGGTTTTTTTTGTTTTTAAACTAGCTAGGAGAGAGAGATTGGGCTCAATGCAACTTACACAATATCGCTGCAGCTGAAGTATGTCCCTCTTCATAGTGAGGAAAGAGGATAATTTGGGGAATAAAGAGTGTGTTGTAAAGCCAGACGAAGATAATCATGCCCATGCAGCACCACCCCTGCGGGTCAATCACAAAATGAATTTGTAGTCCCATTGTACATTATCTGAAGGCAGCTTGCCACGCAGGGAAAAAACAATGATCCTAAAAAAAAAAAGAAAAACAAAAACAACCCCCCCGCCCAGTAAGTTGAAGTAGTAACATGAAAGCTTCATCGCTGGTTATTAGAAAGTTAATAAATACTGGTAAAATGTTCCCTGTACTTCCAGTAGCGTAACTGTTATTTGGTTCACGTGCACAGATTTGGAAACCAGGTGCAAGTTTCTAAATGTTTCGAAGTCTCATGCACAGAGTTCATGCACTACCATGGGATATACACTTATGGTTTCTTTTTCACTGTAAACATATCATTGTCTATTGCTTAACTTTTACCATGAAGATGAGTGAAGAGACAAAAGATATAAAACCTGAAGAGGACTTCAAATGCAAGTGAAAATAGGTACATTTACAAAGATAATCAGCCAACCAATGATTTTAGGAAAACTCAGCAGAGACAGCATAGGGGTTGGTTAATCTAATTTTAACATCCCAAGTGATGGGGCTTCAAGCACTCCAGAGCCCAATTCATTTCACTGTCATGATGTTTTTCACAGATTTCCTCAATTTCTATCCCCCCTCAGTGTCTAGCAAGATATTTCAGTATTTTTACCCTCTTATGTCTCTCAGACAAGCTACACATATTTAAAATGTTAATCTTTCATAAACTCATGTTCATTCTTTTTTCTTTTCCTTGAATACGATCCAGTACTGAAAACAAAATTTTATATGTGGTTGCATCAGAACTATATAGAGAAAGTTCACTGAGAGGATGCCATTGCATGAACAGCTTAATATTGCAACAGACTTCATTGCTGTCACATTACACTACACTCATGTCCAATTTGCTGTCCACCATCATTAGTTCTTGAGTTTTATTATTTCCTAGGTTTTTCAGCTCCAAGCAAGTGTGTTTCAGATTACCCTCCATGTCTACTGATTTACATTTTTTCCATCTTCAGTCTCATTTTGTTGTTTTCCACCCATGTCTCCAATACCTCTACATCTAGGTTCTTTTCCATTGTTTGTCTTGTCCTTGCTGGCATTCACAACTCCTCAATTTACCATTATTCATAAATTTCATTAACGTCTTTTCTTCTTTTTCCAGATCATTAATCAAGGCCAGACTGAAAAAAGCCACTTGACATATTCCCCTCCCTATTCTACGTGCTGCCATTTATCATAACCGTTTATTGTTTCTAGCAGTTTTCAATCCACAACAGTATTCCCATTCAAGGCACTTGGAATTACATTTTTAAATAAGATGAAACATAAGAATGGCCATACTGGGTCAGACCAAAGGTCCATCCTGCCCAGTACCCTGTCTACCAACTGGATCCCCCTTGTCCACATGTTTGTTGACCCCTTCAAAGAACTCTAATAGATTAGTAAAATATGATTTCCCTTTACAGATACCATGTTGACTTTTGCCCAACAATTTATGTTCTTCTATATGTCTGACAATTTAATTCTTTACTATTGTTTCAACTAATTTGCCCAGTACTGACGTTAGACTTACTAATCTGTAATTGCCAGGATCACCTCTATAGTCCTTTTTAAATATTGGCATTACATTAGATAGCTTCCAGAAGCTGATTTGAAGGCCAGGTTACAAACCATAGTTAATAATTTCACATTTGAGTACTTTCAGAACTCTTGGGTGAATGCCATCTGGTCCCGGTGACTTGTTACTGTTAAGTTTATCAATTAATTCCAAAACCTCCTCTAGTGACACCTCAATCTGTGACAATTCCTCAGATTTGGCACCTACAAAGGACGGCTCAGGTTTGGGAATCTCCCCAACATCCTCAGCTGTGAAGACTGACGCAAAGAATTCATTTAGTTTCTCCGCAATGACTTTAAGTCTTTAAGTGCTCCTTTTGTAACTCCATCGTCCAGGGGCCCCACTGGTTGTTTCGCAGGCTGCCTGCTTCTGATATACTTTAAAAACATTTTGTTATTACCTTTCAGTTTTTGGCTAGCTGTTCTTCAAACTCCTTCTTGGCTTTTCTTATTACCTTTTTACACTTCCTTTGGCAGTGTTTATGCTCCTTTCTATCTACCTCACTAAGATCTGACTTCCACTTTTTAAAAGATGCATTATTTGCAATTTTATGTTAAATAAAGCAATCAAGAATGTCTGGCAACGTTTATGGTTTAGAAAGCCATGTTACTTATTGCCCTTGATTCCAATAACTTCTAAATGTTTAGTAATTTGATGGTAATCTTGGTTTTTTTTGGGGGGGTGGATCCATTTTACTTCCCCCACTCAAACGCTCCCCCCACCAGCCCCACTTTGCCCCACCCCTCGCAGAATCGCCCGGGGAGCCCCACAGCGCCCCCTCCTCGCCCGAGACAGAACTGACCGGTACGAGGGGGCTGATCCGCCCCAGCGGGAGCCACGCCGACCGCTCTCGCGCTCACCTAACCGCCGGCCGCAGACTATCTCTCCGCCGGCTTCCACCACCTTCCGCTTCCGCAGAGTTCTACGCATGCGCGCACGGATGGCGGTTGGCGGAGTAGGGACACGCTCAGCGCAGCGGCCAACCGCACCGAGGGCGGGAGCGTACCGTGCTCGCTGCTGAGTGCGTTCTACTCCCGCCCCGCGCGCGCTCCCTTCGGCCGCCCGCCCTTCCCTGGCCTCAGCTGCAGCAGACCCGGGCGTGGCAGCTGGAGCAGGGCATAAGAGTGGCGTGATATTTGGGGCAAACCCTTGTGATAAATATCAGAGTCAGACTTTCCACTCCCAGTGTTGCCAACCCCGAGCATTCCAAAGGCGTTTGGCTCAGGCCTCCCCAAAATAATGAGACTGGCTTAAAAAAAATCACAAGATTCAGACAAATAATAAAGTTGGGTTTCTTTTTTATTTGCTTTCTGTCTTTTGAGCCATTTGGGTACGTTCAGGTGGCAGTTTCAATCTTTTCTCTGCAATTGTGAGGACTATAAACTAACCAATTTGAAATGAAAGCTGAGGTTTTCATGTAATCACTTGACTCCAGGAGTTGAGGCTTTAAGAATGTGAGACCTTTAAAATCATGAGGAGCAGGAACAGTCTTACTTCAGGCTTGCGGTATATGCAGTCCCACATGAAATCTATGCATGCAGAAATGTCCTCTTTCTCTCTTGAATACCTCTGCTTGTATTCATCGCATTCCTCTTGTGGGAGGAGTGGAGAAATGTGTTTATTCATGGACAACAAGGAATATCTTTTTTAATTGTCATGATAGACACATTACAGATATGATTGATAAATAAGATCTGCTACTTAAGATAGAACAGAAAAAAGTTTTAACCAACATTTGAATTAATAATACTTATACCAATTCACACTGGTGATTCTATATTCATCTTCTCTCTGGCTTCCATATTAAGTTTGCTCAGGTTACAGATCTAAAGATTAATATTCCAACTACCAGCATTCTTGATGTGGAAAACAAGCTTGTTGTTGTTGTTGTTTATGTAATACACTAAGCATACATTCATGTTGCAAACAAGTAGCGAGACATAGTTCTTTCACCAAAAACATACAGTTTAAGACCCTGAGCTTACTGTTGACTCTAGTGCAGACCCCAGTTGAAGACAGCAAGCCTCTGGGCTGGGCTGGCACGGGGGTCCACAGGGCAATCAGTGGAGGAACAGGATCTAACTCATTCAAATGCAGCGTGCAAGATATGTGCTGTGTGTTGTATTGGCGTCTTACATCAGCAGCAGTAATAATGATTCTGTGATTCTAATAGCTGACAATTTCCTTTATGGTGCATAAGAAAGAATAGAACGTAACTTGCTCTTCAACAGTTATCTTGGTTCTGGAGTGCAAACAGGCACATAAACATGATTTTTTTAATAAGACAAGCAAAGTAAGACATTTTTATATTGTCACTTTTCTGATCACTTTAGAATGGGCTTTACTCACAAAAAATGGGGCAAAGAGGGAAATAGAAAAACCTGAAGAGACCTCTTTTGTCCAGATTTTGCTGAAATGCTATTTCCCTAATACTGATTTAAATCTTAAATTGATCCTCCCCCGACATTAAACGTCAGTAGTACCTTGAAATGTGTATACATTCCCAAATTAAAAAATAAGCTAAGTCTGTATCTCTCCCTTTGCCTCCACAAAGTCACTCTCTGTGATTTTACAGTGAGATGGCGCCACCATGGATAAGCTCAGTGCTTCAATCTATATCTCTGGCCAGCATATTGGGCTTGATGAATTGAACAAAGGATTCCCTTATGAGACTGGGGGAGGAAATTTTTATTTTTAAAAGTTAATTCTGTCCAGAGATGGATTAGTGATGGCTAATTGCCACAGGCAGCTCATAATGGACAGCAGTTTCAGCATTCCCATCTGGGAATCATGCCTTGAACACCCATAGCTGATGCACATGCATGATCTTTTGGCTATCTAGAGTCATCCCCATCTGTTTGAGTGGCAGGATTCCCAATCTAAATTGGTCTTATTCTTGCCCTAAAGCACAGATCCCACATAATAATGGATGAATGGGCAGCCTGAAGAATAATATAATGACCATCTCTTTTACAGGAAGCTCTTCTTTAACAACACTAAACATTGAGGACACATACCTCTTTAAACTTGATCATAGTTGTTGACATGTATATGCCAAAAAGAGAATATCTGAGAAGTAAAGATGAATTAGAATTCAGAAGGATTTCAAGCTTTCATCAAGACTTTATTGCAGGATAAGGTGACCACTCATCCTAATTTGCTCAAGATTGTCGGTCATATTGTTCAGGATATTTTCTAATGTACCAAGTCAATGTTGCTCTGATGTAAGCATGTATGTTCTTAGCTGGGATTAGGGGTTATATGGTGACCCAATACAGCCTATTTCAATGACAGTGGAAACATTAACAAGCAGCCTGTACATTTCCGTAAAACCAGGCAATACTGAAAAGGATCTGATTTACGGTACAACACGGGGGTGAATAGAGGATGGGCACATGTGTGAAAGAGCCTACAAAGCTGGCTATGAAAAATAGCC